GAAAAACTGTTTGGAACTGTAGCATTTCTTTATATAAATATTTACTGCGGACATTTTTTGGACCGATTGAACCATATTGTATACAAACAATCTTTGGTAGGCCTATACTATAATTATAGATCTATATCATATCCGAAATTTGCGGGAAAGGATGTGATTTCAGAGTGTTCGGAGAAGTAGTGCCCAGCTTTATTTTCCCGAACGTTCGGAGAAATAGTGCCGGCCTAAAAAAAAATTGTAAAAATTACAGCTATTCATTTAGTGAACTGAAAATCAGACAAAATGTGCCTGATGTAGATGAAAGTATGTGTGCCAACATTCATGATTGTTGGAAGGATGACGAATGAGAAATGTTCCATGGAAATGTACTATAAAAAATCCATGATGGCGGCAGTTTTTACCCGTTTCCATGGCAACCAAAGCATTTTTCGAAAAATGAAATGTATCAGAAGAAATCTCTGTGGGGTATGGTTATCACAAGTAAACTATGTCAATGGGAAGTTACCCGTCTAGCTTTTAGTTTTCACTGTAGACCTTGACCTTAAACCGGAGGCTCTTGTTCACCGTTGAATCTCAACTTTAATCCAGTTTATGTCATGCACACTTCAGTTTTTCTAAGATTTAGATCTGTTACCCACTCTTAGTTTTTTTTTCAACTACATAGAACAATCATCATCATTGCCTTTTACACCCTGCACCATGGTATAGGCCAATGATAAACACTTTCCACCTTTCTCTATCATTGGCTAGCCTCTTGACGTTATTCCGTGTTCCCACTTTTCTGTACATCAATTTCTGTGATTCTTCTCCAGGCTCCAAGCGGCCTTCCCCTTGATCTTTTACCCTGTGGATTCCAATCCAACACTTTCTTTGTTATGCAGCTGCCTGACTTCCTGAGAGTATGTCCAATCCATCGCCACCGCCTTTTTCCTACCTCATCCCTGACTGGGATCTGCCTTGTTTTCCTTAACACTTCCTTGTTGGTGACCCTGTCTGTCCATCTGATCTTCAGCAACTTCCTTAGACATTTGTTCAAGAAAACCTGGATCTTCTTTATGCAAATCTGTGATGCGTTCCATGTCTCACATCCATACAGCAGGACTGACTTTACATTTGAATTGAAAACCCTCAGCTTTGTTTGAAGTGAGATATCTCTGGTCTTCAAAATACTATCAAAGATATGAAAGCAGCTTATGCTTTTCCAATGCTGGACTTTATTTCAGCACCTCTGCTGTTCCTCCCTCTCTGTCAAATATACTTCCAAGATAGCAAAAGGATTCAACATGTTCTAGTGCATTTCCTTCTATTGTGACCTGCTCCTTTCGTTGTGCATCTCTGTCCTTAAGACCTTTGACTTTCTGGAGTGGATCCTCCATCCAACAGACTCTGATAGGCTGTTTAATACCGAAGTCACGTAGAAAAATACGTAAATAAAAGCATCTAAAACCAAATCATGGAACTCTTTCATCTTGTATTACTCTGCTAAAGAAAAGAACCCCCCCCAAAAAAAAAGAAAATACAAGGGAAGTAGCAACATAAAAAAACAACAACAACGGAGAGTTAAACTCTATTTCTTCTTCTTTAGCTTCCTCCGCTAGACCTCTGGTTCTTCAACCCGCACTGCAACTGACTTTTACGCATGTGACCATTTCATTCCGATTTCGAAGGTACTGTGTATGTTTTTATTCAGTTTTGGTTGGAATTTTGACTTTTACCCGAGTGGCGGCCGAAGTCTTAAGTCTTACCTACTCTTATCGATTCTAGGACCACCAAGGTGTCTTTGTCGAGAGAACTGGCACTCAAGACCTCCAAAATTTTTCGCCCTTTTCCCCAGAGGTCTAGGTGTTTGATCTTTCCTACCCTAAGATGAGGGGTGTGGATGAAAGACAGCAGTAAGAAAAAGCTAGGAGTAGCAGTAGAAATAGTCAAGGGTTAAACAGAGAGGAGCTCAAAAGAGGCCGGGGGGCTGGG